TTTGCAAAAACCACTTAAGCTGTATTTTTCTCGTTCCTCTTGACCTAAAGCCACAAGCTCTCAAGTTAAAAGAGATGCAGGACAGCCGGCGCGATGAGGAGGTCCGCCACGAAGAAGAGTTGGCCGACTTGCGTATTCAGTTGCGAAGGAAAGAGGAGGAGTGAGCTTTATTTTGTAATTTTTATTTTGTAAGGAGTTTGATGTATAATAAGGGTACATAAGAAAGGGGAGTATGTATGACTTGATGATTTTGCGAGAATTTTCAAAATCTCCCATGGATTGTGGCAAAATTTTAAAATAAAAATCCCCAAAATTCCCCATTTATACTCTTCCGTCTACTTATCGCTAATTACGGAGGGGGACATATAACATTCATGCGAAGAACAGAAGTTTTTCTTAGCTGCTGTTGTTTTTTCGAAAAAGTGGATGTGCAAGCTTTTTTTTGCGGCACTGTAAATGGGCTTATAATTGAAGCATTAGTTGTGATAAACTGTGATAAATATTTCCAACTTTTACAGGATACTTAAGCTGGAAGCACAAGTTGAAGCAAGAAATCACAAAATCATGCTGCTGCAAACGGAATTGCCTCGAGTGGCGATTAAAGATGAAGAGGGTAAGTTTGTCTGTCGTTCGAAATTAGTGTAGATTTATATTGAACTCACTTTTATCGCCTTTTTGATTGCTTCAGTTAAAATGTGTGGCTTCGGTGATCCACTCCCGCCCCCCCCCTCCCCTTTCGCCTTCTCCTTCCCCTTCTCTCCCACTATAGGCGGATCAGGGCGGTCTCCTGAGGGGCGGGAAGGGGCGAAGGGAGGCGGCTTTTTACCTCACCTTCTTCCTTCATCACTACAACTCACCCTTCACTCGCCGCACTACCCTCCCCTCCCCTCCTCCCTCTCTGTATCCACCAATGCTCCCGCCCCAGAAAAAAGATTGTTGAGACACTGTGCAGGGTACTACTTCGGGGGTATACGAGGGTACTACTTTTCCACTGCTTACTCGGCTTAATTTTATTTTTTAGAGGAAGAAAGGGCGCGATTCATGCGTGTCGATGCAGCCAGAGATCGAAATGAGGAGGAGCCGTGCGCGCGAGAGCCGACGCCACCGGAATGCAGACAGCAATAGTAATCAAATATGTAATTTATTTCCAAAATAATTGCTCTGCATTTCCCGAACTGTGTTTTTTTATTAAAATTTTAAATATCTTTCAATTATGTCTTTTCCTCCAACAATGCCTTTTAAAAATTAAGATTTTTAATGAATTGCCAGAGCGATTGCCAGTGAGAGATTCTTGTGTTGCCGAGGTGTAATTTTTGTGCCAATGCAGGATTGTTTCGATTCTGTGCCA